ACAAAATGGGTGATCCTGGAGGACATCATGCTGAGTGAAGTATCTCAGTCACAAAAAGACAAACACTGCATAGTGTCACTGTTCTAAAACAGGACCAATATGGGGGGTTGGGGAAAAACCAAGAAAAGAGGGGATAAATAATGTACGCAGCATTGCAACAGATGATGGAGAGACCTGTATAAAAGGAATTATATGATTAGGTATTACTGGCGCGACACGAGTCCAGAATAAGAGCTAACATAATAAAGTGGACTGAGACGGGGGCAGGGGGACTGTATAACAACAAAAGAACTTTTTTTCCAAAGCAAAAAGCAAAAGTGGGGGGAGGAAGATGTGCAACAATGAATGAACGGAAATCCAAGTTCTTTATACTTCTCATTAAAATCTAAAAAAACCAAAAAAACAATGTACCATATGCACCAAATTTAAAGTTTAAATTTCAAGGAAAAAAGGCTGCGTGGAAGGTGAGAGCGGGGAGAGGTGAGAGCAGCTGCCTTCAGCTAGCCAGCGAGTCTTTCTTTACAAGGGGTCTTGCCTCCCTGGTGGAGCGTAGACTCCGCTGGGGAGCCCAGGGCTCTGCTGGCTGGACATCAGCTCCGACTCCCCGCGCACGATGCTCCGGGGACGGAACGCTCTGACTGCGGAGAATCCTGATCTGCGCTCGGCATCGCTCTGTCTCCACTCACACGGCTGTATGTCAACTTTGACAACGTTCCGTAGTCAGAATACAGCCTTTTATGGGACTCTAGAGGACATTTTCTCATTTTAAAGTTGGTAATCAAACGCTGCGCAAGCTGCCTGCTGCCATTTCTCCTCTTTTTCTGTTCGCCTTCTTTTTTCCGCCTGCAGGGACATTGATGCATCTCTCAAGGTTTAACAGGGGAGCAGCCCTGTCTTCCGTTCTCGCAGTCTAAAGTGACTATTCTTGGGTTCATGACACGCCCAAGACCTGCAATGTGTGCTGGTTAACTCCATTGTAAGTGGTTGCTTGCCACTCCCTGTTCCTGGGATCCAGCTTTTGAGGGCTTGATGCTACGATGCTTGATGTCAGGAAAGGTGCCAACAGAAAGCTTTGAGGCCATTGCTGGTTGATCAGTGGTATCCCGACTTCTGAACTATTTGACATTTATTTAAAAACTTGTATCTTCAAATCAGATAGGATAGTGGCAAGAGTGGAGTACGTAAGTAGTAAAATGGGCACTGTAAGTAAATTATTGTAATTTTTTTAACATGTTTTTACAATCCTGAAAAGATAGCTTTGAGGAAAAATACTGCCTAAATTAAATTCATGCTTTATAAAGTGAGGCAGTGTTTCATTATCACTTCCTGTTGTTGTTGTTGTTGTTGTTATCATCAAGTCAGAACCAACTCATAGCTGATCCTCCAGTGGGTTTTCAGAGGCTGTAAATCACACGGGAGGAGATTGCCCATCTTTACCCTGCAGAGCAGGTGCTAAAGTCGAATCACTCACGAGTGAGTGAGAGCTTCCAGCTCACAGGACCTCACGAATCAGAGGACACAAGATTGCTAGGTCCTGCATCCTCCTCCTCTGCTTCGATGGCTGAGCCCCTGCTGTGACTGTCCTGCTAACTCAACACGGTGAGCTTTCCTCTCATTTTCACTGACCTTCTCTCGGGCCACATATGAAGTCCTTTTCCAGGGATCGGTCTTTGCTTATGACCTGTTCAAAGGCATGAGGATGCAGTGTCATCAGACTCACTTCTAAGGAGTGTTTTTGCTTTATTTCATCTTCATTGAAGTATTCGCTTCTATTTGTATTTAATCACTCACTAATGGCCTAGTGGCAAGAAGTTGCGCTGCAATCCTGACGGCACACAGTTTGAGGCCAACAGCTGGTCTGTGGGAAAAGGATGGCCAATCTCTTTCCATGTGATTAACTGCCTCTGACTTGAAAACAACAATATTTCTTTTAAGTGATGCCTACATTGCCTACACAGCTGAAAATCCCATAAGAAGATGCCCCATTTCTGTCTTCACACACTGCATCCCCAGCTGGGAGCACCTACTGTTCCTCCTTCAAGCTCTGAGCTTACGCAATCATAGCCATCAAGTCGGAACTGACGCATAGCTGGCCTTCCAGCTATTTCTCAGAGGCAGTAAATTGCACCATTCTTCTCCGGCAGAGCATGGACTGAATCCAGGCCTTCACAGCATCTTACTGTGCATCAGATTACTGGACAGTGACTAAGGACCGCAGAAGAATCTATGTCTTCGAGTGGTGGTGCTGGAGAAGGATACTGAACATTCCATGGGTGCCAAGAGAACAGACAGGTATGCCCTAGAGATGGTGAAACCAAGTTGCTCCTTGGAGACAAAGATTTTGAAGCTTTGTCTCATATGCTTTGGGCAAGTCGCCAGGAGGGACTAGTCCTTGGAGAGGGACATCAGGCTTGGAAAGGTGGATGGACAGCGCAGGAAAGGAAGACCGTGGATGAGATGGATTGACACAGAAACTGGGATAATGAGGGTAGGTGTGTTGGAGACAGTGAGACTGGCTCAGTAAAGGGCAGGTTCAGAGCTCTTGCGCATAGAGTCACTATGAGTCACAGGGCACATAATAACAACAACGTGGGTTTGGGAGCAAAGCCCTGATATCCACATGCAGTGCTGCAGAAAAACAAAAGGTGGTGCTGTGTTCCCAGAAATTCACACACATGCTGCAGTGGCCTAGAGCTAGAGATCAGCAGACATGAGAGCCCTTCCTTAAGAGCTGACCAACAAGATCAATAGCAAGTCAGCCTCTGTCCAAACAAGCCCTCTGTCTATTATTACTCAGACTTTAAATTCACAGCCACTTGAGTATGTGTGTGTCTAAAATGTACACAAACAGGGATATTTACACTGAGGTTGGCACAGGATAGGGCAAGTTCATAGCCCTAGTTTATAGTGTCACTGAGTCAGAGTCGACGCGACAGCACACAACAACAACAATGGCTGTCAAATTTTAACAGTAATTACAGCACGAATAGGAAGTAACATTTATGTAGTACTTTCTGCAACATTTTTTTACACCTTAAACTTTATTAAGATAAAACTTAAACATGGAAAACTATTTTTTTATAATTTTTTATTATTATTTTTGTGTGCATGTACCGTCAAATCAGATCTGACTGGTACAGGAGGAGACTGTTCCTCCTTCCCCCCGCAGAGCATCTGGTGGATTCAAACCGTGCGCCTCTGGGATTGTAGTTGCAGTTCCTTGCCACTAGGCCACCAGAGCTCCTCTGGAAACCTATTTTAAAAGCACAATTCAGTGGGTTTGAACGAATATATACACCATGTAAACATCACCTCCTCCAAAAGTTTCTATGATACAGTGCAATCCTTTCCAGTCAACCACCACGAACCCCAAACCCCAGCTCAGGGCAACTTATGACCAGTTTCTGTCAATACGCATTAGTTCCATCTTTTATAAAGCTTTCCAAAACAACTGCACTCTAACAACATTCACAACAGGCTGATGAGGTATATATTAATAATAATCTTTCTACATGACACTAAATGTGAAGAAACAGCTAAAGAAATAAAATGAACAGGTATGTCTTGGGGGGAAGAAAGAAAGTGATTTGGAGAAACAGTGGGAAATTGTATCTATGCATAGACCCACTAACTTGGAATGGTTTCCTTTCTGGAAGCATGCCCAATGCTGCCACGTCCCTGAGTCATTGCAATCCTCCACTGGATCTGTGAGGCTGTAAATCAGCGAGGAGGATGTTCATCTTCTCCAAAGGGAAGACTGACTAGTGGGTGTAACTGCTGGTGAGTTAGCAAATTACCTGGGCTGCTTGCAGAGGTGTCATGAAATGGGCAAAGGGCAGATTGCTATTTAATACCTCCTCGCAGGTGACATATTTCTGTTCACATAGGTTATGTTCAAGTGACATTATCACCTTGCTTGTTAACAATTTAAACGATACTTTGTGGGGAGCACACAGGATCATGAGGTTTAAAATAAACGTCATTAAAGAATATCCCAAAAGAAATCTACAACCTCATAGGTAGTTTGTTTTTCTTAGTCTGGATGGCGTTGGAAGGTGCTCTTCATTGAGTTTTTATCCTTATCCTTTCTACTGATGGAGAAGCAGGCAGCTGTCATCTGAAGGCCTCTTCACCTGCACGCCCACCTGCACGCAGCGCGCATATGACACGTGACTTCGCTCGCCCAATCCCCGCGCCGCGGTGGTCACGTGCCCGCCAGCCCTGTCAAGCTCGCCCCGCCCACCTCCGCACGCATTTCCGCGAGACCAGCCTCGGCTGGTGGTGGTGGGCGGGCCGATGGAGGGGACGCGCAGGAAAGTGTGCGTGGTGGGCGGGGACATGAACGTGGTGGGCGGGATAAGAACGTGGTGGGCGGGGACATGAACGTGGTGGGCGGGGACATGAACATGGTGGCGGGGATGTGTATGCAGGGGGAGGGACGGGTACGTGTTGGGCGGGGGCAAAATGTACGTCGTAGGCAGAGATATGGACGTAGGGTCGAGGATTTGTACGTGGTGGGCGTGGGTAAGTACGTAGTGGGCGGGAACTTGTACGTAGTAAGCGTGGGTAAGTATGTAGTAGGCGGGGATATGGTTCTAGTGTACGTGGTGGGAGGGGAATTGTACTTGATAGGCGTGAGTAAGTACGTAGTGGGCGGAGATATTGTTCTCGTGGGCGGGGATTTGTACGTGGTATGAGGGGAATTGTACGTGGCAGGCGTGGCTAAGTACGTAGTGGGCGGGGACACGCACTGTGTGGGCGGGGATAGAGACGTGGTGGGCGGGGAGATGAACGTGCAGGCTGTCAAGAGGGGCGGCCCCGCGGGCGCGGAGTCCAGGCTGCGCTGAGGGGCGCGGCGGGCGGGATCGGGAAGGTTCGCTGTCCTCCCCGGGCCCAGGAGGCCCTCTCCTCCTCTCCCCGCGGCTCTCCGACCCCCCTGCTGGCTCCGTCCACTCCAGGCAGGGCCGCCCCCCTGGCCGGCAGAGCAGGGTCCGGGCGCCATGGACGCGGCGGCGCTGGAGCGGGACGCGGTGCAGTTCGCGCGGCTGGCGGTGCAGCGCGATCACGAAGGGCGCTACTCCGAGGCGGTGTTTTACTACAAGGTAGGGCGGCGGTCAGCGTCCGGGCAGCCCAGCGGCCAGCGTCCGGGCAGCCCAGCGGCCGGGGTGAGGCTGTGCCGGCCACTTAGGCCGCGATCCCGGCTGTGGACTGTGAGCCTCCTTCCTGCTCTTCCTCCTCCTCCTCCTCAGCGGGACCCCGGGGCAGAGGCCGGCCAGGGCCACGGCCATGCGCTCTGCTGCTTCAGCCAGCGGTCAGCTCGACCCCTGCTCTGGCCCCCCAGTGTTCACCCTCTGCTGCTCTGGCGATAGACTTTAAGTCTAGTGGTCACTACACTTCACATGGCCGCGATGGCCGATCAGGGGCAGTGTCCCTTCGAGCGCACCAAGCCTGTGCGTGTCTGTTTACGAATCGCGCTGCCCAGGCTGGTTTTTAACACTCTGCTCGTTTGAACCTTCTCCCCGATCATCATTGTCCATTTCATGAAGAGCTGCTGGCATTCCGCTCCGTGGACGCACCGTGACTTCATTTGCCAGTTATTGGGCCTTCGGATTGATCGATTCTTCCCCTGGACGGTGACGCTGTTGCTGCCCTGCTCCCTGGAGCTTTCGCACCTGCGCGCCTTGGTAGTTTGCTGTCGAGTTACTGGACGGAGAGTTGCTCTGTCTGGTGTGAAGGTTTGCACAGCCCACCTGCGCCGGCCTGAGGACTTGCACACTCAGGCCCCCTGCCCTAGCCATGCCCTCTGCTTCATGCTGCAGTTCAGATGGTCATGTCGTTTAGTTTGGAACCCACCCATAGCTGACACTGGCGGGTTTTCAGAGGCAGTTCATTGCAGGAGAGGAGATTGCCCATCCTTCTGCCGTGGAGCAGCTTGTGACCTCGAACCTTGAGCCTTCAGGATTGCAGCACAGCTTCTGGCCCCGAGGCGCCAGAGCTCCCCTATATACTGTACACTCATTGTTATCGTTGTTAGGTACCCCTGAGTCAGGTATAACTCACGGTGACCCTGTGGACATCAGGTCGCTCCCCCTGACCATCTAGGTCCTGTCCATGATGTCCATGATGGTCCTGTCCTGACCATCTCAGACTCGCTTGAGCCCGCTGCTGCCATCCCTGTGTCAATCCATCTGTCACTGAGTCTTCTAATTCCTCACAGACCTCGGGACAGAGTGGAACTGTCCCTTGAGGGCCTCCCGGGCGGTACAGCTCTAAGTAGACCTCCACTGCCCACTCTTTCTCTGGCTGGTGCATCAGTCGGCCAGTGCTTCATGCACGGTCCACCGAGGCTCCCTGTGTGCTGTTGTGCTTAGATGCTGTTGAGTAGCCACTGCTCACTATGACCCTATGAGTGGCAGATTTCAAACCAGCCCAATCCTGAGCCATCCTCCGCAGTCACACCGGAGTCCACTGTTAGAGGCACTGTAACACGGAGGGTCTTCCTCCTCCTCCAACCGTCCACCTTTCCAAGCACGATGTCCCGTTCCAAGTATGGGTCCCTCCTGTCAGCGTGCCCAGAGTACGTGAGATGGCGTTTCACCACCCTCCCCTCTCCGGAACACCCTCTCCAGGACTGACTTGTTGGCAGCCCGTGGACACTCAGTGCTCCTCTCCAACACCACAAGTCAAGGGCATCAGTTCTTCTGTCATCCTTATTCACTGTCCCAACTCTCAGGTGCGTGGCAGGTAATTGGAAATACCGTGGCTTGGATCAGGAGCACCTTAATCCTTAAACTGACAACCTTTGCTCTTCAGGCCTTTGGATAGATCTCTGACTACAGACTTTCCCAGTGCAACACATCTTTTGATTTCCTGACTACTAGTACCAAGGTTGTTGATTTTGTCAAATAAGATGAAATCATTGACAATTTCTGTCTCTTCTCTGTCATGATGTTGCTTATTGGCCCAGTAGTTAGCATTTTTGTTTCAGAAACATGATTTGTTTTATTCAGACTTAATGTTTTACTGTTTTCATTTTATAATCTGCTCGTATTAGAGACCTTTTCTGAACTTTGTGTTCTGATTTGAGTGAAAGTCTATAGAACAAGTTGATTTTCCTTTCACAATCCACGCATTCTCAGGACGATTCCTGGTCTTGACTCGAGGCCTCACGGTGGGCAAGCACGCTTCCACCTCCCTTCCTGTGGTTCCTGTTTCCCTTCATCCTTCCCTCCCATCCTTTCCTGCTTTCTGAGCTCCATCCTTGCACAGATGTTGCCCTTTCAATATCGTACGGTTGCCTCTTCCAAGGAATAGATCCATCCCTGGCATCACTGATCACCTGTCTGTTGTTTGGCTGGGCACTTAGTCACAGGGTTATTTCCATCCTGGATTTGAAGGGTGACTAAGAACGAGGGTTCCACCCTGAAGAAACCATAACCGCCACCCACGCAAATATATGCACACCCATGTTTATTGCAGCTTTGTTCATAATAGCAAAGAGCTGGAAACAACACAAGTGCCCACCAACAAACGAATGGATAGAGAAGCTGTGGTATATTCACACGGTGGAATACTATGCTGCATTGAAAAACAAGGAACTCATGCAATATTATTCAAAATGGGTGACCCTGGAGGACATTATGCTGAGTGAGATATCTCAGTCACAAAAGGACAAATATTGCATAGGGCCACTGTTATAAAACTGGACTGACATTGGGATTGAGGAAAGACAGAGAAGGAGGGGAGGAATGATGTATTTTGCATTGAAACAGATGAAGGAGAGAACTGTTTAAAAGGGATATATGATTAGGTATTATTGTCAGGACAGGAGGTCAGAATGAAGGCTGCATAGTGGAGTAGACTTGAGGGGGAGGGATTGCATAATAATGAAAGAGTTTTCTTTTACTTTTCAAGAAGGGCGAATTGGGGGAGAGGGTGGGCAGGGAAAAAGTGTAACAATGAATGATTGGAAATCCTAAGTTTCTGTAAAATTTAATTAAAATTTAAAAAAAAATAAAATGTATTTTAAAAAAAAATAAGAACAGGGTTCCACCAGTCTGTCAGTCCAGTTCACTTGGTGGTTTTGAGTCTTGTTGCACGTCTTGTCCCACACGTCTCGAAGGGCACGTGGTGGTCACTGCGGAGCTGCTGGGGGCACGCAGGCCTGCTCGGTGCTGTCTCTGCTGTACGGTGTTCAAGCCTGCTGGCCCTGAGAGGCACCTGACTCCTTGGGTCCCAGCGTGTCAGAGCGGAGCTGTGCACTGAACGGTCTCTGTGGCAGCTTTTCAGGACTAGAGGGTCAGGCCAGCTTATCTTCCCATCCACGTTTGTTGTTGTGTTGTTGTTGGGTGCCCCCGAGCTGACTACACATCACGGTGACCCTCTGAACAGCAGGTCTGCACCAGCATCACCGTCTCTGACGTGCTGGAGCCCATAGTGCAGTCGCTGTGTCCATAACCTTGTGGACGGTCTTCCTCTTCACCTTTGCCAACATAATGTCCTTTCCCAAGGACTGACCCTCTGACTATGTGCCCAAAATCTGTGCGCCAAGCTTCACCATCTCTGCCTCCCAGGAGCACTCTGGCTGCACCTTCCCCTGACATACCTGTTGGTGCTTTGCGCAGTCCGTGGGACGTTCAGTGCTCTTCTCCAGCACCACAACTCGGAGGCATCATTCTTGTTGCAGGTCCTCTAGGTGAACTCACATCTCAGTGTAATGAAGATCTCTGTTTGAAGCACAAGTCATTTGCACTTCACTTTTAACTAACCTGAAGGTTGGTGGTTCAAACTCCCTTAGTGATCCTGTGAAGAAAGCCAGGTGCCCGCTTCTGTGAAGACAGGAACCAGGAATGCTCTGTCAAGCAGGCTTGCTCTGCATTTCAGGCGCTTCAGGCAGGTGTGCTGTGACACAGGTGGTCTAGACAGGTGTGCTCTGTGACGCAGGTGGTCTAGACAGGTGTGCTCTGTGATGCAGGTGGTCTAGACAGGTGTGCTCTGTGATGCA